GACGTACCTATAGAATCTTTTCTTGTTGCCCTTGATGTCCCTGGCCAGATTTAATTCTCTCAAGCTTTCAGCTTTCCTAACCCGAACCCTGGCTGCTCAGACAATTTCTCTGGATTCCTTACCTGTCCTTGCTTCCACCCTCTGTAGGCTTCTTTTTTGTGTTTGAGTTGTCCAGGAGCGATCCTTGAATATTAACCAGCCTTCTTGGGGCCCTGCCAGCTTTCTTGGGGCCCTTAATCAGGTCCCTTATCAATTTTCCATTATTTTTCCGGTGACATCAAGTAGTTCACAGGTATCTGGTCACCCCTCTGTGCCCTGCTCAAACAGTGGCATGCTTCCAGCCTCTTAAAATTTCCAAAGATTAAAATTACCTCCATGAAGCCAGAAGTTTCCCTGGCCAGCTCTTAAAGAACTTGGGGCTGGGGGGGTGGGGTTTGGACTAGATGATTGTGAAAGGTCCCTTCCAACCCACAGGTCCCTTCCGACCCAAACCATTCTATGCTTCTATGAACTCTTGGGTGTAGACACCTCAGGGCTGGTGATAGAAAACCATTTCTGACTGCCAAATGTTACTTCACATTAGTCAGTCCATAAGCTAACAACCAGCTATTTCTTCTGTCCCACTGTGACACTACTAGAGCATCCTGCTTCTTAGTGGAACAAGAAGCAGGTATTTTTGGAACACTTTTACTTTTATAATCAACTGTTAGTGCTTTTAAAACTACCTACAAGTGGACCAATACGATTGCTAGGAATTGTTCTTTAAGAGGTTGAAAGTTCTTGGAAGCAAAAAAATTCTTTTGCTGGTATAGTTTATACCAGCTTATACCAGAATAAATATAGAGGAATTTGTTTTATCTGTTCCTTTTCTAATTTAAGTTACAGGCAACTCAAAGTTTATCAAGCAGAGACACCAGTTGTTTACATGCAGAGCTAGTTCATTCTGGGATGGCTGATTAGCTCAGCTGCCGTGTCCCATAAATGCAAATCTAATTCAGTTACTGGGCTGCATCGAGATCCTCATGCCCTGCTAGAGACTTTTAAACATCCTTGCACCATGTTGCACAGTGCCTCTTGCAGTGCTTCAGAGCATCTGCCTTTATCAGCTGGATTTTAATTGCCCTAGTAGAATCTCAGCGCTCCCTTACTCCAGATAATGTAAATGTTCCTGTAATTCATTGGTAATAAACTAATAGTATTGTAAAGTGGAAGCTGGATGTTGCACTATTTGCTGTTTTCCCCCAAACTTCATCACAGTATAAATTACAAGCATTTTTATCCTGTGATATATTTTAGGGGAATGTTTTGAATAGCATTTCCAAGGATATTTGCCAACTCTGGTTAAATGTCAGTCATCTGTTTTAAATTACAAAAGGGCCATTTGTAGATGCAGCAACTGCCAATGGCAGGAACGAGTCGGTGAGCTTGAGAGACCTTGGGGAACCAGAGGCTGGTCAGGCTCCCCTCAGTCTCTGCGAAGGTGATAGAGCAAATAGTACTGAAAGCCATTTCCAACTATATTGAGGACAAGAAGGTGATTGGGAGTAGTCAGCATGGATTTACACTGGGGAAGTCATGTCTGACCAACCTGATCACCTTCTGCGATGAAATGACTGCCTTGGTAGATGAAGGAAGAGGAGGGGATGTTGTTCACTTTGACTTTAGCAAGGCTTTCAACAGTGTTTCCTATAACAGCCTCATAGACAAATTGATGGAGTACAGACTAGGTATATGGACAGCGAGGCGGGTTGAAAACTGGCTGAACTGCTGGATTCAAGGGGTTGTGATCAGTGGCACAAAGTCTAGCTGGAGACCAGTCACTGATAGTATACCCTAGGTCCTGGGGCCGGTGCTGTTGAATATCCTCATTAATGACTTGGACAGTGGGGCAGAGTGCTGCCTCAGAAAGTTCACAGATGACACAAAACCGGGAGGAGTGGCTGATGCACCAGATAGTTGTGGTGCCATTCAGAGGGACCTCAACAGGCTGGAGAAATGGGCCAACAGGAATCTCAACAGTTCACAAAGGGAAATGCGAAGTTATGCACCTGGGAAGGAATAACCCCATATGCCAGTGTGGGCTGGGGCCGACCATCTGGAAAGCGGCTTGGCAGAGAAGGACCTGGAAGTCCTGGTGGACAAGTGGAACACAAGCCAGCCATGTGCCCTTGTAGCAAAGGCAAAAAACATCCTGGGCTACATTAGGAAGAATGCTGCCAGCAGATCAAGGGAGGTGATCCTTCCCCTCCTCTCACCAGTTCAGCACTCATGAGACACATTTGGAGTGCTGTGTCCACTTCTGGTCTCCACAATAGAAGAAAGACATGGGCATACTGGAGAGAGTCCAGTGAAGGGTCACAGAGATGATTAAGGGACTGAAGTACCTGACATACAGGTACAGGCTGAGAGAGCTGGGATTTAGCCTGGAGAAGAGAAGGCTCAGGGCGATCTTATCAGTCCCTTAACTCATGGGAGTGACTAAAGATGAAACCAGACTTCTCAGTGGTGCCCAGTGACAATGCACAAATTGAAAAACAGAAAATTCCATTTAAACAGAAAACTTTTTTTACTGTGAGGGTGGTCAAACACTGGAACAGGTTGCCCAGAGAGGTTGTGGAGTCTCAAAACCTGACTGGACACGGTCCTGGGCAGCTTGCCCTAGTTGACCCTGCTTTGAGCAGGGCGTTGGACTAGGTGATCTCCAAAGGTCCCTTTCAACCTCAGCTATTCTGTCATTCAGAGAGTACAGGAACCCAGCATTCGGGGATATGACCTGACCTCTCTGACCATTTCTTATTCCAAGAGTATGTTAGTAAGTTGAGAAAGAAAGGTGACAGGCTCATGTCATATGAGCCAGACTTTTCCCTGTAGTCACTTTCTGTTGCTCTGTGCAGAATGTTGAAGCGCTGGATGTTTTCCTTCCCCTTAAGCAAAGAGTTGAGCAGCCCAGAGCACAGGACTAAAGGCTTTCCCCAAAACCAAATGCACTCAAAGTACAACAGCAGCAGCCTACTGTATACATACCAAGATAACAGGGACAATATTTTTTTTGGAGTCAGAACTTGTTTATGCAGGTAAAAAGCTAAAGTTGGCCTCCTGCGATGAACAGGAAAGAGATGCTCCTATAAACGCACATGACAAGTCATCATTACTCCTAGTATTTCTCTCCTGGGAGAGAAAAAGGTCTGTATGAAGTGGTTTTATCAGAGAGCAAGACCAGAAGTCATTATAGCTTAATAGCTCTCCACTGGCATCCTCACTGGCCTGGCTGCTGTGTGGTGTCCAGCAGCCCTCAGCAGCAGGAAGCAGGCTGCCACCACAGCAAGTGAGGAAATGGACCATGCTTTCCCAGGTGTGTTTCTTAGTGCTGACCAACCATTCCTCACCCTCTTGGCTCCGAGACCTCTTTTAGGGCTCATATACGTGAAGAAATTAGCGAGCATTGCTCCCTAGGTGAATACTTACCGAGAATACAGCAGCTATATGGAGAGGCGTTTTACAGCAACAGTGCCAGTCTGTGTCTGCCCAAAGGCAACCTTAAATCTAGTCACAACCTTTCCAGTTGTCCAGAATCTCTGAAATTTCTATTGTAGCTGAGTCTGTGTGCTTAATGTTCAACATGCACCAGACACTGCAGTGGGTCTGTGGAGAGAGGAAACCCCTGAACAGGGAAGCTTGGCAATACAGGAAAAAAAACACAGGCACCGATTACGGGGGCTACAAATCTTTCTGCCGAGACTTCAGCATCCCTGGAACATGACCCTCGCTCTGTTTATGTCTTTGGCACAAACAGTCCAAGCAGCTGCCTAGCTGACCTTCTGACTGCAGCTCTGCACTTAAGGCCTGTGGCTTCTCTCTTACCTCTCCCAGCTCGTGGTACACCTTAATGAAGAGGGAAAGGCAAGACCCTCCGTGCAGGGTGGTACTTTGGAGCACCTGATCAGTAGCTCCCAAATGTCATGTTGGCCATATGATCCCTTGAGCCTTGCAGGGGGCTGAAGCCATCCTGACATTTGTTCTTCCAGATGAGGAGGCCTGGGGGGGACTGAGGAAGTTGGGAGATAAAGCACAGAGGTTCTTGTTTTCTAATACACTGTGAGCTTGCTCACTTTCAATCTCTGACAGAATGGGCTGCCCTTGCCCAAAGAACACTTCAAGCACTGCGTTCCTGGCATCTCTTAATTTATTAATCCATTTACTGGACCTTGAAAGCACCTTGCACTGGGAAGGACTATCCTGATCCTCCATTCAGAAGCAGACAGGATGAGTACAGCTACGGCTGGGAAGAACTAACAGAACCAGTATGAAACTATTCCCACAGTGCTGTCTTGGTTTGGCTTCCTTGTTCTGCAGCAGCGGTGCCACCAGCTGGCAAGAGCCGAGATCCCAAATCACAAAGATCAGAAACAAAATACACCCAAGAAGGGAAGTGGTGACAGCCAAGCAAACCTGCAGCAGCTGGGAGTTGGAGAGAGGCAGCAGGTTGAGTGTTGAAAGGGGTAATGTGCACTACCACTGTGTTTGTAGCGTACAGTAAAAGCACAGTCGATAGCAGCGTAGACCTGCTGCAGGATCCAGGCCAAGGAGTGCAATGGATCTCATCTTGGGTTCCACAGCCAGAAATGACGATGGCCACACACGCACATGCCAAGCACAGCCAGTGAGAAAGTACCGAGGGAACCTGGACTGTTCAGTATAAGGAGCGAAGACTGTGGCCATGAAACAGTTAAAAAACCCCCTTCCAACAAAAAGAGATGAACTGCCCTGCAGAAGGGAACAAACTGCTTCATCTGCACAGTGAATGGGACAGCAAGGGGACCTGCAAGACAGACGATGGGACAAAATAGGTGAATGCTAGAATGAGTTGCTGGGGGAGGATTTGGGCTCTTTATTGCTGAGATTTAAGCTGACACACATCTAGGAGGAGCTC